TAACAACCCAGCAGTTTCCCTTTGTACTGTGTAAAAGTAGGAACTGATTCTAGTGTGGACAGGGGAGCACCCCACTTCCAGGTGAAGGCTTTCCCAGTTCTGCCCCCCACCCCCCAGTACCACACCTGGCGCTTTATCCAAGGACTCTATGTTTTGAGGATCAGTCACTTCTTCCTCCTCTTCCTCTTCGGACGACACAGGTATCTCACTGTCTTTACAGCCACATAGAAAGAAAATACAAAACGTAATTGCTTCACTGCGCACCTGTTATCTTTGCTTTGCCTGGAGCCAAGGGGTTGGGATGCGGCTCACGGGATGATTCGTGCATATCACAGTAACACAGAAATATTCCAGTTACTGGAGCCAGTTTTTGGTGACAGCAAAGAAGGCTTGTGCAGATGCTGCTGAGAAACAAAAGACGCAAGAATGATCACAGAAGAAATATAAATGACCGACAAGCATAGGAAAGAGGCTCATGATTTCCCAACATTATAAATATATTTAATAACACTGAACTGTACACTTGAAAATGGTTAATATGGTAAATTGTATGTGATGTGTATGTTACCACAATAAAAAATAATTGAAGGGAAAAAAAGAGGCTCAACTCCACTAGTAACTATATAAATGTAAATTAGAATAAGGAAGTGCATCTACTCTTCATCTATGGGATTGGCAAAAATTAAGAAGATTGACAATATCCAGTGTCAGCAAGGCTGCTGGGAAACAGGCACCTCCTCCACTGTTGCTGGGGTGAGAACTTTCTGGAGAGGAGTTTGGCAGGACCTATCCAGATTGTAAATGCACACACCCATTACTCCAGCAATTCCACTCTTATACATTTATCCTACAGAAATACACAAAGCATGCAAAGATAGATGGACACTTGTTACAGTCTTTGTAGAATGAAATACTCTGAAAATCTAAACGTCCATTAGTCAGAGAATGGGTAAATAAAATATGGTACAACTATGTACTTACTAACTATAAAGTTAGAGAGATCTATAGGTATTGACATGAAAAAATCTCCCAAGATATGTGGGAGGAAGGGGGCAAGTCATAAAATAATATGTATAGTATGATCTTATTTATGACTTCAGGAACTATATATATATATATAATTATATGTATAACTAGACAGTAGATAGACATAGACAGATAGATAGATATTTGAGAGAAGAGCTGACAGGATACACATAACAGTGGTTACCTATAAGAACGGGAATAGGACTGGGGCTTTAGTGAGATGAAAGGTTCCTTTTTCACTTTATATAATTCTATGTTATATGAATTTTTAAGAGAACATGATTCTGGCAATACTTATAAAATTTTTTTAAATGTAAGCAAGTTATTGAATGATATGTACCATACGATTCCATCTTGTTCTTTTAAGAAACACATGCGTACCTGTTAGAACAGCATCTGGGGTAGCTGCTGCTAGTGTAGACACCTCCCTTGCCTCACCACCACCCTCCCCCGGCAGCTATTTGTCTCCATTCATATCATTTTTAGCAGGGAGCAGAGAGAAGTGTTGATCAGCAGAGGGGCAGAAAAGAGAGGGAAAAGGAATGAAGGGTATGCACTGGCCCCGCCACAGGTCCTCCAGACAGACCAGAGCCCCCATAAGGATCCAGTAAAACTGTTCAAGGGTCTTTGTGAGCCTGTAGGCTTAGTAAGCAGAGAGTGAGTGCCAAGGTGAAATGCAGAGTTTGGGGGAGGCCCCTTCCCCCCACCTCTGGCCAGAACCCATCACCAATTCAATGCCATTCTGGAGTCTCCAGGATCAGCAGCTTTAAGAGTTTCCAGAGCCAGTATCCTCGGCAGGAAATCCATCAGCATTCTCGCCATGTGGTGACAGTGGAAAAGAGCAGAAATGGAGGGGAAGACCACAGGGCAGAGGCATCCCAGAAATAAGTCACAGCTGGCAGGGATATCTGAGCACCCTTTGGAGGGTCCAGGAATTAACCAGGGGGACCCTCTGAAGAGACTGAAGTCTGCCTCCACGTAGGACAGGGACCACCAGCCAGGAGACCTCTGGGCTAAACAGTTAATAGTAAACACCAGACACAATATAGCTACCCAACTATTAACAGAAGCCCTCAGAGGTTGCAAGAAGTCTCAGTCGTGTCCATATTTTAGGGTCTTGGCATAATTTCTTTTAAGTGTACAAAATCTGGATCACTGAAATTGTGGTATATGTTAAAGAGTCAATCCTGTTACTGTATTTTTTTTATCCATAATTTCACTTGGTGATAATGAAAGATGCTAAATTCGAAATCCCATTATAATGTGATGTCCAGGTCCAAAGGTCTACCTGGGACCAAAAATAAAAGACTGAAAGGTTAGATTCTAAAATGTGACTGTGTGGTCATTTCTCTGGGTGCCACTAGCAATTTGTTATTGTTGTCGATTTGTGGTCTTGGATTTCTCTACAATAAATAAGTATATTATTTCGTGCAAGCAAATAATGCATATTTAAAATAAATGAATCTGCCTACTACCTTCGAAAAAAAAAGGTTTGCCTGGCACACCACCCATGAGAGGCCCTGTAAGGGATCCACATGTCCTTACAGAGCTCGAAGACCAGCACAGGAGGCTGCTGTGCTCCTGCCAGGAGACAACTTCTGTGTTTCTCAATCTCCTTTACGGACATGTTCCTGTCTGAGTGTCCCCCGCACTCAGTCCTGTCTCCTCCTCTAACTCTGTGCTGGTCCCTCTGTATCCCCGGGCTATCAGAGAGTGGGCTGGACCAGCCATTGGGCTGGGGACCCACCTTCACAGAGTGTTCTGGGCATTCAGTCACTGTCATGGTTTGTATTTAAGATGCTAATTTGTTAAAAGTAACTGCGAATTTTTTAAAACCTTGTGTTGGCATTACTTTACTTTTTAGCATATCAGAAGCCTCCAGAAATAGAAAGGGGTGCGCTTCTTACACTACCTGCGACCATCAAAGATGGTGAGGATGATGTGGGTAGCCCCAGCGCCTGGGTCATTGCTCTATCCAGCCACAGCACGTTATTGGACAGATTCGCATTCTTCTGAATCTTTACTGCCTATGTGACCTTGGGCGAGTTGCCACAATTTGCTCATCTGTAGAATGGGAATAACAATACACCCACCTCATAAGATTAATGAGATGGTACAAGCATTTGGAACTATGCCTGGTAGAGAGTAAAGGCTAAATAAGTGTCTGTGGTTATTTTTCATTCGAGCTCTGACTTTCCAAGTGAGCTGTGAGCTCAGGAGGGCAGAGGCGTTGTCGCTTCACTCTTGCCTGCACGTGGCGGGCAACAATAAGCATGTATGGACCACACCTGAGGCCCAGGGAGGGGGGAAAGGAGGGCTCACCCATCTCCAGCTCCACCTCCTCCGGCACCACCACGCGGTAGAAGAAGAGCGTCAAGGCGGCCTCCTCCTCGCTCGTCTGGTTGAGGAAGTGCAGGATGAGGTCCTCGACCTCGCCGTCGTCGCGGCTCAGCAGCTGCTCGAAGATCTGGGGGTCGGTGAGACCGAAGGCCGTGTACACGCGGTCGCGCATCCACAGCACCCGCAGGTCATCCATGGTGCCGCGCCTGGAGCAGCGTGCGGAGAGGGCCGGGAGCTGGGCGGGCGTCCGTGGCAACGCGCCCTTGGCAACGGGCGCCCCGGC